AAGCAAATAACCCAGTGAAGAAATGGGCAGAAAACATGAATAGACACTTCTCTAAAGAAGACATCCGGATGGCCAACAGGCACATGAAAAGATGTTCAGCGTCGCTCCTTATCAGGGAAATACAAATCAAAACCACACTCAGGTATCACCTCACGCCAGTCAGAGTGGCCAAAATGAACAAATCAGGAGACTATAGATGCTGGAGAGGATGTGGAGAAACGCGAACCCTCTTGCACTGTTGGTGGGAATGCAAATTGGTGCAGCCGCTCTGGAAAGCAGTGTGGAGGTTCCTCAGAAAATTAAAAATAGACCTACCCTATGACCCAGCAATAGCACTGCTAGGAATTTATCCAAGGGACACAGGAGTACTGATGCATAGGGGCACTTGTACCCCAATGTTCATAGCAGCACTCTCAACAATAGCCAAATTATGGAAAGAGCCTAAATGTCCATCAACTGATGAATGGATAAAGAAATTGTGGTTTATATACACTATGGAATACTACGTGGCAATGAGAAAAAATGAAATATGGCCTTTTGTAGCAACGTGGATGGAACTGGAGAGTGTGATGCTAAGTGAAATAGGCCATACAGAGAAAGACAGATACCATATGGTTTCACTCTTATGTGGATCCTGAGAAACTTAACAGGAACCCATGGGGGAGGGGAAGGAAAAAAAAAAAGAGGTTAGAGTGGGAGAGAGCCAAAGCATAAGAGACTGTTGAGAACTGAGAACGAACTAAGGGTTGATGGGGGTGGGAGGGAGGAGAGGGTGGGTGATGGGTATTGAGGAGGGCACCTTTTGGGATGAGCACTTGGTGTTGTATGGAAACCAATTTGACAATAATTTTCATATATAAATAAAAAAGAATAATAATAATAAAAGAAAAAGAAAAAAAAATAGAACTGCAGTATGATATAGCAATTCCGCTTCTGGATATTGATCCAAAGAAAATAAAACCACTATTTCAAAAGGAAAAAAATAAAAAGAATAAAGTCATATGAAAAAAAAAAAAAAGAAGTTGAAGAATGAAACAACTTCACAATTTTAATATTGGAGGTGATTATGTGTGATAATCATTATTTTTGGTAGTTTGGAAATGCCAAGTGTGCATACTTTTCTCAAGGTGGGCACAGCTGGAATATAAATTCCAAAGCTGGAAGCAGGATGTCAGGGACTGGAATCAGGTTTGCACTCAGGCAAGGTGACCAGGAGCAGGACAAAACAAAATCCTCAGAGAGTTTAAATGATCAAAGCTGGAAAAACAAAGTCCATCAAATTAAACAAAACAAAATAAAGCATAGGAACACAGCTGGAAATTTCAGATTATCCTGAAAGTACACTGTGGACAAGGTGAAGTGCATACAAACAGGTAGTCAGGTACACTTTGGGGCATGTAGCCTCTGCTTCTGCATCTGAACTTAACCACTGTCATCATCTCACCTGTGCATTCTTTACGTCCCAGGGAACCTTCCATCTGCCTTAACCATGGAATGTTGTGGGAATAACCACAATTCTTTGTAACTGCCTGGCCAAGGTGGTAAGGGACTGAGGAGGGATCCACCAGTTTGTCAGTCTGTTTTCAATAATTTATCTGGGCTTCAAGGAAGGTGTTACCTGCTCAAGCAGGGGTATGTGAAAAGACTGAGAGAGATAAAGGGAGATAGTGGGAGATTTTTTTAAATGTTTATTTTATTTTATTTTTTAGAGAGAGAGAAAGAGAAAGAGAAAGAGAGAGAGAGAGAGAGAACGGGGAGGGAGAGAGAGAGAGGCAGACACAGAATCCAAAGCAGGCTGCAGGCTCCGAGCTGTCAGTACAGAGCCCCACACTGGGCTCGAAATCACAAACCCCAAGTTCAAGACCTGAGCCTCAGGAGTTAACTTACTGAGCCACCCATGTGCCCTGAAAGTGAGAGATTTGTGAGTGCTTAATGAGGCTAAAACATGTGTTTGTGTGGATTTCTCAAAAATAGAGCTGGAGGGAAATTTATTTATTATTTATTTATTTTCATTTATTATCTGGGGTGGCTTTATTTTTTCCCCAGCTTTATTGAAGTACATGACACATAAAAGTTGTGTATTTAAGCTGTAAAACATGATAATGTGATATATGTATACACTGTGAAATGACTGTAACAATCAAGCTAATTAATATCTCCACCACAACACAGTTACCACTTACTTTATTTTAAAAATTTTCTGCCCAGAGTGATTTAGGTGTTACTGACAAAATAAAATTGTATATATGTAGGTTGTATAATGTGATTTTAAGGTATAACATTATGTTTTAATATATGCATAGACTGTGAATTGATTACCAAAACCAGGTTAATTAACTCATCTATCACATTTTGTAGTCACCATCCTCTTTTATGAGAAGAACACTGCAAGATCTACTTCTGGAATAAATTTTATATACACTATATAGTGTTATTGACTATAGTCACCATGTACATTAGATCTCCAGGACTTATTCATCTTCATAACTGAAAGTTCATACACCCTGACCAAAATCTCCCCATTTTCCCCACCCACCCCCACTCCAGAAATCATGACTCTACTCTCTGTTTCTGTGAGCTCAGTATTTTTAGATAATACATGTAAGTGAGATTATAAAGTATTTGTCTTTCTGTGTCTGGCTTTTTTCACTTAGCATAATGTTCTCCAAACATAATACATATTGTTATAAGACAGGATCTCCTTCTTTTTTGTGATGGAATAATCACGTTTTCCTTATGCACTGATCTGCTGATGGACACTATGGTTGCTTCTATACCTTGGTTGATTGTAAATAATGCTGCAATGAATAATTATGGACTTACAAACCTTGAAAAAGGGAAATGCATAGGGTGAGTGCCATATTCACCCTGGTACTTTACCTGAAGGCATTTGCAGAAAATTGTAGACTTACTGAGCTGAAGAAAAGAGATGAGAGCTCAGGCTGCCAAAATGGCTGGAACTTGAGAGGTAAACTTGCAAAGAGAGGAGAAGAGCATAGAAGTGAAAATCAGCTTGCAAATTCCTTTGAAGTCAGCAGCCAACTCCTGAACTGAGAATGTATTAGGCTAAGACTCTTTGAAACCAAGGAGATAACAGCAGGTGGCAGGCTAAAATGCTGAGCAGGGATTTCATCAGGTACACAGTGCTGATGAAATAGAGATTAGCGTTCAAGCCCCACAAAGGTCGAGGAGCCTTCATAAATACTCCAGGCTTCCAGCTGACACCCTACAAGAACCATGCCCTAGAACACAGGATATGCTGCAAGAGTAAAGACAAAACTGAAACAGAGCCGCCCTTATGAAGCCTAAAACCAGACTTTGATGGAATTAAGTTACTCTGTCAGTACTCTAACAACCAACCAGAAGAAAAGTTAACCCTCAGGAGCCTCTGATGTTTTTTATCCACAACACCTGTCACTTTATAAAAATATACAAAATATGCTATAAAACAGAACTCAATGACTTAAAGAGAAAAAAATATATACAAGTAATCTAGATACCACAATTTTCCAGTTAAGGACTTTAAAAGTAACTATGGTTAATATAGTTAAAAAAGAGAGAACACTTCTCTGGTTACCTGAAATCTATTAAAAACAGGACAAGTGGAAATTCCAGAACAGAGAAATATTTTTAGAAACAATTCAACAGAGAGATCACATGAGCTAATAGTTTCAAAACATATAAGCATAAAGAAATTTGAACACTGTATATAATGTTAAAGTAGATGTTTTATATCTATATATTTATATATAAAACACCTATTTCATACTAACAACACCTAGCTGGAAATGTAATACCTCTGTCAATAACTGACAGAATAAGCAGACAAAAACCAGTAAGAATACATATTTGAAAAGCATTATGATTAACTAACTTGAAAACTTCGCCTGGGTAACATTTATAAAACACTACAAGCAAAACCCGCAAAACACATGGTCTTTAGAAATGTACATGGTACATTTTTCAAAATACACCATAAAGTGGGCATAAAAAATTCTCAAAATTTCAAAGAACTGAAATCAAATATATTCTGATTCAAGGAAGTTAAAATAGAAATGGGAAAAAAAACCGAGAAAGAGAACAACAAATTCCAAATATTTTTAAGTAAAGTAATACATTTCTAAGAATCCCATGCATCAAAGATGAAATCAGAATGGAAATCAGGCAAAATATTCTGGGTAACCCAAGGTAGCTTCTAAGAGACTACGTTTATTGGGATATTTGTATTATATACTTCAAAGCTTATTGGGGATTTTGCATTCTTCTGGTTCACTGATGTTTTAAATAAGATATGTTTTGAGATGGCATCTGGTCTCAAGTTCTCTCAAATCCCTTGAGAGTCAAAAAAAGGCTGAAAAAATATACTAGTGAATAAATGTATGTATGTAAAAGGAAGGGGCACTAGAGGTATGCTCACCAAACTTTTGACAGTGTTTCTTTCTGGGGGAAAAGGAGAGAAATTGAGTTGAGAAGGTGGGGTAAGCTTACTGTGGGGCTTTTAAGATAATTCTATGTAGTTTAAGTCTTCTCTAAAGCATCTATATATGACTTGCACATTTTTATATGAACAATGTTTGAAATAACTGACCACAGAGCACACATCCAGAATGAGGGCTCATGCTTATGCTGTGCCTGTGTGTACCTTTGGTGCACATCATATACCTCCAGGGTTATACTTACCAGGTTTAAGAAGCACAACCAGAAACCAGGACGACTTAGTATCAAAGAATTGGATAACAATCCAAAATAATATAAATTGATCATCTAACTTTTAAAAATTACTATGATTTGGGCTCTAGGAGAAAATATTTTTTTATGAATTTAACTCTCAAGTTTACCAAAGTCTGTAATATTATATCTAGGAGGGTACTCTCTGGTTATGAGGATATATCCTATAATGCTTTAGCTGGGAGAACAATGCCTGGCTAAAAGATTACGTATGTGTCTTTACTGAAACCCAGTTTAATAATACATTTTTTCAAAAAACTTTAATTTCTAACCTGTGAAATTATAGTGTAAATCCCTCTTCACGTGGTCAACAATGCTCTTCACCACAACACTTTTGGAAGGCACGAAAGCCAGTTCCCATGGACCAGGAAAAATCATGGGCATTCCAAGAAATGCAGGTAACTTATCAATAGGTTGAAGAGAGTAATTGAAAGGCCCATACTTCTTTATAGTCAAAATCTTGCGTGTTAACAGAAGCGTACCAGCAAACAGTAACGTCAAGGTGAATTCTACAAATAACGCCACCAATCGCCGCCTCTAGGAGATGGAAAAAAAAAAGATTATGTTAATGTCCTGTAAGTCCATTACCTCTGCAAATGCCTAATTCTTTTTTATTAAAAGACACTTCTAAAAAGAAGATACATAGATGGCAAAGAAGAACTCTGTAGTAGCAATAGTTTCCTGGACTGTTTTCTCCATTCTCCATGTCATTCTGCTATTATTTCACTCTGTGAGGACCCTTCACATTTGGAAGAGATACCCCCAGCTGTAGGACTGCAAAAAATGTAACAGGATAAATTGAAATGTAGTGATCAGGCTGTAAGAATTTTCACACTGTGGTCTCTTAGCTGTTGCAAAACTCCTATAGATAGCTCAACTTACCTTTAAAATAAAATTCTTCCACAGAAGAGCCATAAATTGGTAAACCCATGAGAAATCCATTCTTCAATTCTAAGGAGGGAGTAAAGATTTTTACTTAGATTTGAATTGTTTAATGTTTTAATCAAACTCAAAGGAGGACAATAAGAAACAATAAGCACTTGAAATATTAGAGAAGCTGTTTATCCCTAAATCCCTACTCAGTATCTACCAGGTTTCTAATATGTATAAAACTTCAAGCACAAAACAAAGATCAGTATGTTATTGATGCAAGCTTCCAGGTAAATTTGACCAGTAGCTTTCCCAATGATTACTAAGAAACAATACAAGAGATAATAAATAATCACCATCAGCAAAAAGACAAAATGGTATGTGAAAATCACATCATAGCTATAAGCCCAAAATGCCACTCAACAAGTAGCAAGACTGAAAGTACTTCCATTAACAACATTGCTAATAGAAGATTCATTTTTATATTTAATGAATATTTGCTGAACATCTATTACGTGACATATTAAGTCACTTAGGTGTATAATGGGAAACATAACAAAGGTTTTTGTTATTTTATTAATAGGTTATTAATAACCCAGGATCTGAAATCAGACTATCTAGGTTGGTTCTCAGCTCTACCACTATCTGTGTGATCTTGAACACTTGACTTAAATTCTTGGAGTTACCAGAGAGAGAGAGCTACAATTCAGGGCCAGGAAGGGGAGACATTATTTTAGGACCTCACCTTACAAATAAGGATGAATGTGAAAGAAACTGGCCATGGTCTGTGCAGGGACTGCACAATTTCAAATAATTTTAATCCTTGATACCAGATGAAGGTATCCTATATTTCAAATGCCTGTGGTACCTAGAACAAAATCAATCAATCAATCAATCAATCAATCAATCAATCAATCCTCTCTGAAGAAAACTAATATTATCCTGGAGACTCAGCTATTTCTGCAAACAATTTTTCTGAATATAACATCTGGCACTCCTGACATCTGGGGTGGAATTATCAGGAGCAAAATTTAAAATAAGTATGCTTACCATTTTCAAGGCAAAAAACATAGAAGGTTTAGAAATTCCACAAAAGGGCATTAGATTAGGATCTCAAAGGATGGAGGAAGCAGTGGTCCTAGACCTAAGCATAAAGCTAACCTATAAAACTGGTAGAAAACATATAGAAGAATATCTTTGTGGCCTTGTGGATACAGAGATTTCTTAAAGTAAATGAAAAAAACTACAAGCCATAAAAAAGATCATAAAAATCTAAAATTTTTGCTCCTCAAAGAATACCATCATGAAAATAGGAAAGAAAGTCATAAAAGGGGAAAATATTTCTAACATATTTATCTGACAAAAGACATATATAAGCATTGCTATAAGCCAATAATAAAAATATAACAACCCAAATTTTTAAAGTGGGAAATACACTCAAAAAGACATTTAAGCTAGAACAAACAATGCTAAAATTTGTATGGAACCACAAAAGACCCTGGATAGCCAAAGTAATGTTGAAAAAACTGAAGGCATCATAATTCTGGATGTTAGCCTGTTTACAAGGATGTAATCATCAAGGCAATATGGTATTGGCACAAAAACAGACACATAGACCAATGGAATAGAATACAGAACCCAGAACTGGGCCCACAAACGTATGACCAACTAATCTTTGACAAAGCAGGATAAAGCATCCGATGGACAAAAGACAGTCTCTTTAGCAAATGGTGCTGGAGAACTAGACAGCAACATGCAGAAGAATGAAACTGGACCACTTACACCATACACAAAAATAAATTCAAAATAGATGAAAGACCTAAATGTGAGACAGGAAACCATCAAAATCCTATAAGAGAAAAGAGGCAGCAACCTCTTTGACCAGCCGCAGAAACTTCTTACTTGACAGGTCTCTGGAGGCAAGGGAAATAAAAGTAAAATTGAACTGTTGGGACCTCATCAAGATAAAAAGCTGCAGAGTGAAGGAAAAAAATCAACGAAACTAAAAGACAACCTTCAAAATGAGAGCAGATATTTGCAAAAGAAGATATATTGGATAAAATATCAAAAATCTATAAACATCAAACTCAACATACAAAAAAAAAATTCAGGGAAGACATGGGCAGAAGGCATGAATAAACACTTTTCCAAAGACATCCAGATGGCTAACAGACACATGAAAAGACGCTCAACATCACTCATCATTGGAGAAATACAAATGAGATACCACCTTATACTTGTTACAATGGCTAAATTTAACAACTTGGGAAAACAACAGATGTTGGCCAGGATGTGGAGAAAGGGGAACCCTCTTACACTGTTGGTGGGAATGCAAACTGTGCAGCACTCTGGAAAACAGCATGGAGGTTCCTCAAAAAATTAAAAAAGAACTACCCAATGACCCAACAATTGCAGTAGTAGGTATTTACCAAAAGATACAAAAATTCTGATTTGAAGGGCACAGGCACCCCAATGTTTATAGCAATGCTATCAACAATAGCTAAATTATGGAAAGAGCCCAAATGTCCATTAACTGATGAATGGATAAAGAAAATGTGACATGTGTATACACACACACACACACACAGTATGGAATATTAGTTGGAAATTAAAAAGAATAAAATCTTGCCATTTTCAACAACGTGAATGGACCTACTTTGCTAAGCAAATTAAGTCAGTCAGATAGAAAAATTATATGATATCACTCATATGTGGAATTTAAGAAACAAAACATGTAAACATCAGGAAGGGGAGGAAAAATAAAATAAAAGCAGGAAGGAAGGCAAACCATAAGAGACTCTTAAATAGGACAAACTTAGGGCTGCTAGATGGGAGGTTGGTGGGGCAATGGGACAAATGGGTGATGGGCATTAAGGAGGGCACTCGGACGAACAGTAGGTGTCATATGTAAGTGATAAACCACTAGGCTCAACTCCTGAAAACAATAGTATACTGTATGCTAAGTTGAAATAAATTTTTTACAAAGAATAAAGCTGCTATAAAGATCTAATTAATGTATAAGAGGTACGGTTTCTGGAGGAAGATGGCAGGGTAGGAGGACGATGGACTCACCGCGTCCTGCTGACCACTTATATTCCACCCACATCTGCCTAAATAACCCAGAAACCCGCCAGAAGACTGGCAGAATGGACTCTCCGGACCCAAGCGTAGACGAGAGGCCCACAGAAGAGGGTAGGAAGGGTGGAAGGCGATGCGTGCTACATGCACTGGTGGGAGGGAGCCGGGGTGGTGGAGGGGCAGCCTGCCCAGCAAGGAAGAGCCCCTCAGTCTGGCTTGAAAAAGCAGAGGTGCCGGATGGAGTGTGTTCTGACAGCCAGCAGGACTTAACATCTGGAATATTATAAGTCAACAGCTCTGCTCCGAGAGCGGGAGGGCTAGAGGACAAAGGGAGGGAAAGCTGTTGAGCCACGGAGGACAGAGCTCAGCTTGGTGAGGAACAAAGGCTCTTACCAGCGCCATCTCCCTCGCCCATCCCCCAGCCAAAATCCCTAAGGGAACTAGTTCCCGTCAAAGAACTTGCTTGCACCAAGCAAACAACCAACGCTGTGCTTCTGCGGATCCATCCCTCTAACGGGCCGCCTCCCTCCCGGTGCCGCAGGGCCCCTCCTGAAGCGGACCACCGAAGGCAAAGCGAGCTGAGTCTGCTCCTCCCGCCCCTGTGCACCTTCAGGATCCACCCCAGCTAATACGCCAGATCCCATGGAAGCAGCACCAGAAACCTGGCAGTGTGGAAGTAGCCCAGACAGGGGCCATACCACTCCACAGTGAGTCCTGCCCCTGGGAGAGGGGAAGATAAGGTACACACCAGTCTGACTGTGGCCCCAGCGGTGGGCTGGAGGCAGACATCAGGTCTGACTGCGGCCCCACCCACCAATGCAAGTTACTCCAGACAGCACAGAGGAAGAGTCCTGCAGTTCTACGCCACTACAGGACCTATCCAAAATGACGAAATGGAACAATTCTCCTCAAAAGAAACTCCAGGAAGTAGCAACAGCTAACTAACTGATCAAAAACGAGTTAAGCAATGTTAGAGAAAATGAATTTAAAATAATAGTCATAAAATTAATCGCTGGGCTTGAAAAAAGTATAGAGGACACCAGAGAATCTATTACTACAGAGACCAAGGGACTAAGAAACAGTCAGGAGAGCTAAAAAATGGTATTAATAAGCTGCAAAATAAAATGGAGTCGACCACAGCTCGAATTGAAGAGGCATAGGAGAGAATAGGTGAATTAGAAGATAAAATTATGGAAAAATAGGAAGCTGAGAAAAAGAGAGATAAAAAAATCCAGGAGTAGGAGGGGAGAATTAGAGAACTAAGTGATGCAATCAAATGCAACAACATATGCATAATTGGGATTCCAGGGGAGGAAGAGAGAAAGAAAGGTGATGAAATGTACTTGAAGAAATCATAGCTGAGAACTTCCCTGATCTGGGGAAGGAAAAAGGCATTGAAATCCAAGAGGCACAGAGAACTCCCTTCAGACGTAACTTGAATTGATCTTCCTCATGACATATCATAGTGAAACTGGCAAAATACAAGGATAAAGAGAACATTCTGAAAGCAGCTAGGGATAAACATGCTCTAACATATAAAGGGAGACCAATAAGAGTAGTGACAGATTTATCTACTGAAACTTGGCAGGCCAGAAAGGAATGGCAGGAAATCTTCAATGTGATGAACAGAAAAAATATGCAGCCAAAAATCCTCTATCCAGCAAATCTGTCATTTAGAATAGAAGGAGAGATAAAGGTCTTCCCAAACAAACAAAAACTGAAGGAATTCGTCACCACTAAACAAGCCCTACAAGAGATCCTAAGGGGGATCCTGTGAGACAAGGTACCAGAGACATCACTACAAGCATGAAACCTACAGACATCACAATGACTCTAAAACCATATCTTTCTATAACAACACTGAATGTAAATGGACTAAATGCGCCAACCAAAAGACATAGGGTATCAGAATGGATAAAAGAACAACCCATCTATTTGCTGCCTACAAGAGACTCATTTTAGGCCCGAGGACACCTTCAGATTGAAAATGAGGGGATGGAGAACTATTTACCATGCTACTGGAAGTCAAAAGAAAGCTGGAGTAGCCATACTTAGGTCAGACAAACTAGACTTTAAAGGCTGTAACAACAGATGAAGAAGGGCATTATATAATTATTACAGGGTCTATCCATCAGGTAGAGCTAACAATTATAAATGACTATGTGCCGAATACGGGAGCCCCCACATATGTAAAACAATTACTCATAAACATAAGCAACCTTATTGATAAGAATGTGGTAATTGCAGGGACTTTAACACTCCACTTACAGAAATGGACAGATCATCTAGACACAGGATCAATAAAGAAACAAGGGCCCTGAATGATACATTAGATCAGGTGGACTTGACAGATATATTTAGAACTCTGCATCCCAAAGCAACAGAATATACTTTCTTCTTGAGTGCACATGGAACGTTCTCCAAGATACATCACATACCAGGTCACAACACAGCCCTTCATAAGTATACAAGAATTGAGATCATAACATGCATACTTTAGGACCACAATGCTGTGAAACTTGGAGTCAACCACAGGAAAAAGTCTGGAAAACCTCCAAAAGCATGCAGGTTAAAGAACACCCTACTAAAGAACCAATGGTCAACCAGGCAATTAGAGAAGAAATTAAAAAATATATGGAAACAAACGAAAATGAAAATACAACAATACAAATGCTTTGGGATGCAGTGAAGGCAGTCCTGAGAGGAAAGTACATTGCAATCCAGGCCTATCTCAAGAAACAAGAAAAATCCCAAATACAAAATCTAACAGCACACCTAAAGGAAATAGAA